TCACTTTCTGTCCTTTGTGCCCAGTAAAATGACAGCTCTGACTTAACTTTCATCAAAGCTTATTTTGGCTTTTTTTTTTTTTTTTTTAATATTCTTTATTTCCATTAGTCAGGGCACATATACTAGGGGCCATTTTATGCTTTCTTGGGGTTTTTAGGCAATCACTCCATACTGGGTCATTATTCGAAGTTATCCTATAGATCCAGAAACACATAAGAGTGTCACACGCTTTAGAAGTCAGGGTGTTGATTATTGAAAGAGTGATGATCACTTTGTGAGTTCTTCCTGTCAGCTGGGGTCCCATGGCCCGCAAGCCACTTATACCCTTTGAGTCCAGCCTCCCTTCTCTCCCCAGTGAAACCAGCCTGATCCACGTGTGCAGGTTAATGCTAGAAGGGAGGGTCAGCTTTACCCATACATAATCACTGTTTTATGGCTTTCCCTCATTCCTGAGGTGTTAATGCAGATCAAATGGGAAACACTCGAGACAGAACCCTTGCAGCTACCGGGATGCCTAGCTCCCCCCCACTCTCAATCGTTAATTCTTATTGTAAGATCTAAAGGTAATTTTGTTTGCTCTCTTAATGCCTTGCAGGTCTCCCAGTGGCCCTTACATATCCTTTCTCAAATTCCCCTCTTGATCAATTGTTTGCAAATAATTAAGCTTTTAAGAGATAATGGCATGAGGCTAATGTACACAACAAAGACAGGCCTCCCTCACTGTCTATTGGACTGTGGTCAAATTTACTCTGATATCCCAAAGTGATGGGGTTGATTGGTATATCAGGCAAGTGCAATAAGTCTTTCCCTCACCAGAACCTACTGATCTTTCTTAAATGAGTGTCCTTGCCATGGAGATGTCATAAAGCAAAGGTTTGCAGGAAAATGGCAAGGGTGATGTGGCCCTTAGCTGTCGTGTTTTGGAATGGATTTCCCAGGTTCTCCCTAAAATGGCCCTTTTCAGGGATCACCTTTTGTTTCTTGCAAAAGGCCTGCCTTTGCCAATGCCTGCTGCATGGCCTCCCCAGCCCTGTGGGGCTTTGAATGTTTTTACAGCAGTCTTGCCCGTGGCGTGTTGGGTTTTTGTCAAGTCATTTTTTAAAAAAGTCTACAAAGGAATAGCTCATAGAGTCCACCAAAAGCTTATCTAGTAAAGATGCATAGGATTTAAGACATTTAAACATATTGGGTTTCAGTTTTAAAGCCTACTTCTTAGTGAATTTTTGTGGATTAGCTACATGAAGTCATGGCTTTCATGTGATTCGAGCAATTATAGATTTTTTTTTCAGGGAATTGAAAGTTTGTGGGACAGGCCAGGAACTATGAGAAAAAGAAAACATTCAGTTGAGTTACCTTAGACCAGGGCTTAGACATTCTGTTGATAACCTTTGTCCCCCCCTTAGCAGTGACCAAATTATTTTGAATTTAATTTTGTTCAAACTCATTCATTTCTTTATAGATATCTTTAAAAAATTATATATATATATATATATATATATATATATATATATCTGAACAACTGAAAATTGCTTAATGGAGACAAAGTGCTGGGTCTCCTCCATAGCTTGAGGCTGAGCAGCAATTACACTGCATGAAATTAGACACAGTTTGTTCCAATTACTTAAAATCAGATCACATGAAAAGTGACAGAGGGAAAAAGAAGATAGACCTTTCTCATTTTATGATAAATTATGAAATCAGAAACTACATGATGTGAAAAAAAAAAGAACTGAAATTTGCCCTGAAATTTTGAGAGCCAAGTTCCTACTCTTTGATGATTTTAATGATCCAGAGAGAATGTTCCCAACACCACTTGCATAAGGAGAATGTGAACTCAGTCTGCTTTATAAGAATGTACGTAAAACTTGCTCGCCAACAGGCATGCGAAATTCTCTTGGAAACACAGAATAAATAAATTACTGTGACAATTCTCGATTTTCAGAGTAACTAAAGATAAATGGCATACATATTAATTTTTATCCAGTTCTGGTCATAACATTAAGACACAACTAATAAGATGGGGCAAAAGGCATTGCTTTCCAGCTGTTCTGAAGAGGGACTGTTGACTCTTGAAAAAAAATCACTGAAAGGAATTTCCATAGGACCTGGAAAACTGTAAGCGGATAGGATTACAGAAAATATTACAGATTAGAAATTGTCTGCATGTCTACAACTTCATATGGAAAATAGTTGCCAACAGCTAGATGTTAAGATTTGCATATTTCAAAATTCACTTTATAATTAGTTTTGGGTAATACTGTAAGAACTGCTAGTGTGAGTAACTTTTGCATTTGATAGATCTTAGAACTCTAGGTGACAAAAATCAAGGGTTTGAAAAGTTGTCCTTTGTTCAAAGATGCACAGTCGGTAAGTGGCACCCTAATTTATAAAACCTCGTGGAGTCATTTATATTTTGTACACTTATTCAACTAGCATAGAGATATAACTACTATATATCAAATTATAACACAGTATTCTGTTCATAGGATAAGATATTCATTTGTTTTTTGTTATGTAGTGAACTGTTATACAAGTAGGAGGGTAATGGGTTGCTTGTAACTCAATTTCCAGTGATAAGATTTTTGCCTACAGTGGCCAGTATTATGTTGAGTAGGGTCATTGTCACCTACAATCTGAGCCTAATATGAGTTTTGTATGCTTTTATTTTGAAGAGAATGTGTTGATAACACTTTTAGGAAAGAAGCAAATAAAATAGTGTCATGGATTTCAAGTTAGATTATTTATACTTTGCTTTATTTATTTATTTTGGTACTAGGGATTGAGCCACATCCCCAGTGGGGATTTTTAATTTTTATTTTGAGACAGGGTCTTGCAAAATTGTTTAGGGCCTTTCTAAGTTGCTGAGACTGACCTTGAACTTGTGATCCTCCTGCCTGAGCCTCCTAGTTGGTGGGGTTATAGGCATGTGCCACTGTTCCTGGTGGGTTGTTTATACTTTTTGTGGGCTTTGAAAGAAATCTTCTTATGCGTTTAGGTGTTGCATCCAAGTGCAGAGTGTCTGTATATCTTGGTATGTTATAGCTGTTCTCCTGGTTCTACAGCTATTTCTTGATTTCCCATTAAGTACAAGTCTGGGCTTTGAGGATAGTAAAGAAGGAAGAAAAATGGTTTAGAGTTGGTAAAGGAGTGGGAAGAGACACCCTTCCAACAAGGAAGCAAATAATTAAAACTAGTGTTTCACCTGTTAGTAGGGAAATAAAGAAAATTTTGATGTGAGAAGATGAGGTGGGGAGACGAAGAGTGGGGAGGTAAAGCTTGACCCTGGAGCCCTGAGAGTGACATCCAGAAAGGAGCCTGAGTGACAGGGAGAAGCTTGGCATTTTTAATATAACAGTAAGAAGATGGTGTGGGTGGGCAAAGGGGAGGGACAGGAGTCAGAAGAAAGCAATAAGATCTGAGGGAGGTGGGCTGCGCTGCATGGTGGCCGTCTTGCAGGCTGTGATAAGTAGTCTGGAGGTCTTTGAACAGGGGACATGTATGGGGATTATGCAAGGTATTTGCCACATCCTTTGGTCATAGTGGGATTTAACTCTGGAAGGGAAGGAGGAAATATCACTGACCCCTGTCTGCTGTGGGCCATCCCTTCTGCTGGCCAGTTTCCTCACCTGTAAAACAAGAGCAATGATAGATTCCATTTATGTCACTCAAAGGACTATAATGGGGATTAATTACCATCCCGTCTGTAATATACTTGAAGCTCTTTAGAGAAAGGCACTAAAGTCCATGAAAGCAAAGCCTTATTCTAATTGTGTATTTATTGATTAAGTGACAATCAAAGACAATGCTTATGGGAAAAATTGCTATATCTCTGCTCTCCACAAACGTATCCCACGTGTATAGATACAGAACATATTTAAACTTACATATAAGAGCATTGAAGTGGTCATTAACAAGTCTTTTTAGCATCTAATCAGACATTATTAATGAGATTAAAAGCTATGTTAATTAGCATTCAATAGACCAGAATTTAGTTTCCATGGCACAGATAGTTAAATTAAGGGTTGTGGGGGTGCCCTTTCCCATTCATAATGGAATAGAGGGTTGACTCTCAGAACAGTTTTATCTATGGAGAATTCCTAGGAAAGTCACATTTCAAGCCAGTCAGTGTCTCCATGGACAGAAACCACATCCTCAGCGATTCTCCCAGACTTTTTAGAAATGTGTATTGAAAATTTAGATATACTTGATTATTGAACAAAAAGTGTTTTTGCCAAAGCTAGTTTCAGTAGCATTCCAAACATTCTTATGAGAAGGGATGAATTTCATTTTCTTATCAAATCCTGTTGTACTTCTTTATCCACTCTACCTTGTGAGGAACATAACTGGGTTTGTTGTTAGCATGCAAAATATGCTGATCTTTGACCTTGCATTGGTCTATGTGCAGAACCCTAGCATGTGTCAACATTGAGACATAGAAACCAACTAGGGATAAATTTTGTTGTGCTTTTCTGAAGAGCTAAAATGAAAAGTGGTTTAAACAAAATACACCCACTTTGATTTTGCTATTTGCATACGGCAATATGGTATCTTGGAGAATGTCAACTTAGTGCTGGTGATCTCAGCAGATTGTTGGTCAAAATGCTTCCTCAGAATTCTGTGGTTCATTGAAAGGGTTTAACCAGGATATGATACACTTGTAGATGGTTAAAAAAAAAACACACTCTTGTCCTTATTTTAATGCTATAAAATGTAGTGAAGATCACACTAAACTTTCTGTTTGCAACAAATAAACTTGTTAAAGGATCAACTCAGTATCAAGGTTCTGCAAGTATCCTAAGTAGCTATTTATACACTTCACTAATCTTTGTAATTGGCTTGTCTTTTACTGCCATTAATTAGATGATGTAGTATTCCATTAATAAGAGTGACACACCTCAGCATTTTTACCTTTAATTATAGACTTCACTAGACACTTAGGTTATTGACAGAGTGGCCTAAATATTGCCTGATGTACACATATCCTTTTTGTTCCCTTTCAGCATCCTTACCCTTCTGAAGAACAGAAAAAGCAACTGGCCCAAGACACAGGACTCACCATCCTGCAAGTGAACAATTGGTAAGCAATCTGGCCTTGTGTTTACACACAATCTGTTTCCCCCTTTGGCAACCTGCAACTAATGTTTTGCATTGAGAAGCCACACCCAGTCTGCAGCTTGTTGAGCCAAAGGTGAAAACAAACTGTTGACTGATATGTGAGAACACTTTCTAGTATGGAAAATAAAACAGTGTTTTGCCTTCCACCTCTTTTATACCTTGACAGGTTTTATGCGTGGGATGACTCTGTGTTTAACTCGCATTCAAGATGGCTCTGATAACGTTTGGCTCTCTTTGACTCTTTTTCCCTTAAGGATAATCGATAGAGTGGTATCATCTTGTTTTCTACGAAACAGAAAACCTACCATCACCTATCGATCAGTTTTAAATTCATGGAATAACCAAATTCGTTTAGAATTTGTTACGCGGTCAAGGGTGGTCTCCCTATTCTCTTATCTCCCAAATATTAAAAGGGAGAAATTGTGTTGCTACTTTGAAGCTATTCAAAACCTGATGTGTCTCAGGACTATGCAATACTATTTCTAAATTGGGTGTAAATTCCTGATTTGGGGCAAAGCTGGGATTGTGCACCAAGTACCAGACAACAATATTCTGACTTAATATATGGTGATGTGGCAACGAGGCTTTGAGAAAGTATGATTTATTACCCTTTGTGAATGTGCTGAAAGCCAGGTTTCATATAATCACCCAGGGCTAGTGTCATATTTGAAGGGTATTGAAATCCAATATCCCCTACAACTAAGTGTATCTAATTAATTGTCCTAATATTTTTAGATTAGTGTTTATGGTGGTGAAACCTTATCCTCTTTGATGTAAAATCCAGAAAAGGCCCAAAGCCCGGTTGGGGAAAGGGGAGAACTGGGAATGCCAGTTGCAGACAGAAGTATTTCTTTCTGTTCAATAAGTGTCAAAGATTAATATTACAGAATCTCTGATTACATGGCCTAATCCATTTTGGTGAATAAATTTGTTCTTGATGTCCATTGCACCTAAATTAACAGACCCTACCCTGTTAGAGAGCCTGGGTGCCTTTGGGAGAGATTTCAGATATATTAAACCCCATTACAGAAAATGTAATTTCTGTCAATATAATCCCATGTATTCTTCAATTTAGTATTTTAGAGATAACAAGCTACTTACAATATATTTGCCTTTGGAGGATTAATTTACAAAGTGCACTATCTGCAAGACACAGACAGACTCACACAAGCATTGCTTGTAAGGGTTATCAATTTCTACGACCTTACTGCAGCCTTGAGAGATCAATTTTTGCAGCGCTTTTAGTCAGTGGAGAGGGAACCCACCAAAGGCACACTATGTCCATAAGCTTCACTGGGGGTTGTGTCGTTGCTGAGGTTTTTTTGGTTTGCCTATTTTCACCTGCTATTTCAAGACTGTTCAGTCTGCATTTTTGGACTTGTCTTTCAGAGGTTCTGGATGGTATTAAATGGGAGACCATCCATTTTATGGACCCACTTCAACTCACCTCTTTTTCAATTCACACTGATGGTGAGGTGGTCTTCACACAATGGAGGCTCTACAAACATTACATTTTCCTGGGAAATGTTCTTGTTTAAGGGTAAAGGAGTGGCAGGGTGAGCTCTCTAATTAAAGAACGCTGGAGAGCTGCCTTCCAGGTGATCTATCACTACATGCCATCTCTCTTCCTCCTCATGGTTGCTAGCAAACTCCATCCATAACATAGTTACCAGAACATAGATTCCATTACAAGTTGCTTTCTCTGAGCAGACCATCTTAGAGGATATTTCCTGTGAACTCAGGGGCAAGAAGGCATTCGGTGATTTCAGGTAATGTGTATGGACTGTCGTTTTCCTAGATTCGGTGCACAATCTCGGATGGGTGGAGGGCAACACGTCTCAACCAGTCTGTGATCGTAACTGGACTTCCTGTTTCATAATTAAAGAGAGAGGGGAAAAAAACTTAAAAAAAGATATAACACCTACTACAAAATATTTTTTCAAAATATATGCATACTTTACTTATTTTTGCCATGCTGGGGACTGAACCCAGTGCCTTTAATACAACAGGGAGGTGCTCAACTACTGTGCTACCTCCCAGCCTTGTTTGCAGGCTTTAAACATACTCAATTTGGTGCAGACATAACTTAAAAAATTGCTTTTACTTAGTTATTTGGGACATAACGCAATTCTGTGCTTACCTGGCACTTTGTACACTGTGTTCTCCCTCCTTGTCCTTTCTGGAGTTGGAAGTGACCCTTGTTTCCACCTCACCGCCTTCACATTTGGCCATTGTTTTAACCCTTAATAACTTGGTCTGCTGTAGAGAAATGTCCTTCAAATAACTAAAAGATGTCAGAGAGATTGCCTTTCTAAAGTGTGGTGAATAATGGCATCCCTATGTTTCATTTTTTAATGTTTTGTTAATTTTCATCTAAATCTTCTTATTCTAAGGAGCTGGTAATAGATTTATTTTTCTTTAAACATTAAGTAGGAAATGTGATCCAAAAATGGGGAAACTCAGATGGCACCATTTTGAAATCAAAGATGTCAGAGAATCTTAAACTGCCGTATCTGGAGACTGAAGATGAGAGAAACTGAGGAGTGGTTATCTTTTTTACTTTATTGTATTGCCAAAAATTCATATGGTTTTTACAGGCAGTAGTGCATGTCTATAATCCCGGTGGCTTGGGAGGCTGAGGCAGGAGGATCACGAGTTCAAAGCCAGCCTCAGCAAAAGCGAGAAGACACTATGCAACTCATTGAGATCCTTCCTGTCTCTAAATAAGGCTGAGGATATGGCTCAGTGGTTGAGTGCCCCTGAGATCAATCCCTAGTACCTTGCTTTCCCTCCCCCCCTGGCCCCCCCCCCCAAAAAAAAAAAATCATACAAAGCTATTTTGAGAGCTTGTAAACATTTTATTCCTGTACACAGCATCACTCCATAATGTTATTTTCCTCTAGAATTAATGTATTTTTAAAAAATCATCACCAGTGTTTTCCCTTCATTTCATATAGACACAATTTTTAAAACATTTGTGTCTTCCTTCTTGGATTCTCTAAAACTTGTTAACACACATGTACATTTTTGTATGAACTCTGAGTCACTGTTGATGAGATTTCATAAAATGCTGAAGGGCAGGTTGGGTGTAGATCAGTCGTAATTATTGGCAGCAACATAATGTATTGAAATACACAATATGTAAGTAAAAAATATAAACTCATGTCGACTTGTTAGCTTGTCATAGAACCTCTGGATGATGTGGTTTTTAAGTTAAGCTGTGACTGAAAATGAGACAAGAAGTTTGATGTGTTGTAATGGTTCTTTACTCCATCACTGAACTTATTTTACCTTCTTTAACTAGCATAAGTGACATATGTGCTACCTGCTGCTGTAGAGGACCAAGGATAAAGTAGATGGGATCGGCTAGGTAAAGGGCAAAAGAGAATTTCAGTGTAAAATCACAAGACAGATTTGATTAATTAAAATAATTCTTTCGAAGTAAAAGACAATCGTGAGCCAGGCCCAGTGGTGCATGCCTGTAATCTCAGTTGCTCAGGAAGCTGAGGCAGGAGGATCACAAGTTCAAAGCCAGCCTCAACAACTTAGTGGGGGCCCTAAGCAACTCAGGAGACGCTGTCTCTAAATTAAAAAAAAAAAGTTAAAAAGTTAAAAGGACTGGGGGTGCCGCACGTTCAGTGATCAAACACCCCTAGGTTCAATACTTGATGCCAAAAAATATATAAATAAAATGAAAATAAGGAAATAATTGTGACAAATCATATTTGGTCCCATCAGAATAAAAACAGAAGGAATCTTCAAACAATTGGCATGAGTACCAAAGACATTTGGGTCCTAAGATGGAATGTGAAATGTGTTAGATGAGACATTGTAGGACCGGTTATGCCATTACTTTTTTTTTTTTTTTTTGAGAACTGATGCAATTATGCAAATAATTTGGGTAAAATTTTTTTACCAAAATTATCTCATTTATCTGAGGTCCATGCATGCTTTTCCAAAAACATCAGCTTCATAACTAATTGCCTAAATATTTCAACCTTAAATGTGTGGCAATCTGAGATTTAAAGCATAATCATTTTTAAAATGTAACATGCATCAGACACTTATGTATTTTCCTTTTTTTTAATCTAAAAAAATGGTAAATGGTAGTATTCAGGGCTTTTGTTTTTTCATTGTTATAGTTGTGATAAATACTTCTGATATATAGCAGGGAACACAATATTCTGACATTTTTGTCATTTATGTAGAAACATCTTGAATTTAGGGATTAGATGCTTATTTAGGTCTTTAGATATTTTGGTAAACTTTTTAAAAAATATAAACACACATACAGATTCAATACTTCATTCTTTTTTACCTCCTGAATTGACCAACTTTATTTTTTATTTTGAAAATATGAGTATAGCACGGTCCAATAAAAACTGCCTTCTATCTTTTGACTCCAGCGTTGCAAACCTGGGGATTTGCTGTGATGATAACTTAGGCTGTGTGGTTGTACTGGTACTTGCTGGATACCACAGACACATGGTACCTGCAGAGCTCTAGCTTAGGGTGCACTGAATGAATTTTATAGTTTCTTTGTTTACATCTGAACACTCTTCCAGTGAGGCCTGATATTAAATGATTATCCTTTTATGATCTGATATGGGTTTTAGGTGCAAAATGTATAATATAGGTGAAATACAGTATGTATGTCAAGAGAAAAATCTCTCTCCACAACAAGGCATATAAAACTCCAAGTAGCATCCTAACATCTGATATGACACTGCAGAACTATTGCTCTCCACAGTTCTTAGATTTAGGGTACACACCAGATTTTCCTAGTTACTCCATTTATTGCCTCTGAAACTACAAAGCATTCAGCCATTACTTCCCATTTATTACTACTGGAGGGAAAAGTATGTTATCCTTAGAGATTTATGCCTCTGGCAGGTAAAAATGTAAACTTATTTTTTAAAAATTGGATCTCCTTCATTATAATAAACAGATTCGATGGGTAAA